TTATATAGTATCCTAATATCATATTGTAATACTGTATCGTAATATAATATCCTAATATCATATTGTAATACTGTATCGTAATATAGTATCCTTATATCATATTGTAATACTGTATCGTAATATAATATCCTTATATCATGTTGTAATACTGTATCGTAATATAATATCCTAATATCATATTGTATCCTAATATCGTATCGTGATATCATCGTAATATTGTATCCTAATATCGTATTGGTAAATAATATTGTATCGTAATATCGTACCGTAATATCATACCGAAAATCTTATCGTATTGCTATATCGTACATTTAATATCGTATCGAAAAAGCATTCTGTGACATCACATTGTAATATTGGATGACACACATTTGTCTTACATCCTCATTGGTTGGAACTTATTCACGTGGAGGACGGTGATTAGTGATATTAACTCGGTGTTACTATTTTTAGAAATAGCAGGTTAATACTCACATTATGACGTAATTTCAATTGTAACTTTTTATTTTTAGTTTAACACTTTTTATTGCAATGCAAATGGATTAAGTTATTAAACTTGTTTTAAGCCCTTTCCCCAGCACATTACAACCATATATATACAATATGACAAGATGGCAGACTTAATTGATATACATATACACTATTTCATTTTTCAATGCTTTATTTATATATATCGAAAATATAGTTGTATGGCCTGAAAATGTTATATTAACCTCGACTTCGTATGACAATGTTACATTAACCTTGGCTTCGTCTGACAATGTTACATTGACATTGACTTCGTCTCGGATAATATTACTCTCTCCGGTCCATAAAACCACTTATTCACATCAACAAAGGTCCATAGATGATAAACATCACATCGTAATAGCTATCCTATCGTGATAAAAAAAAACGTATCCATATCTCAATGGTGTCATATCAAGATTTTCCAACATCTTAAATAATTCTAGATTTTAAGTGTTCGGCAAAGCCTCGCGCTTATAACCTATCGTTGATAATCTCTTACCTGGAAAATTATAAAAGCAAATATTGATTCATGATACAGCCTGTAGTATGCACGTACTTAGCAGAAAAATGTGCACCCGCCGATCGTAAAATAGGTGCATATGCACACAGAAATGTGTATGATGCACGCTATAATATGGCTTGGCACTGCTATTAAATACATTATTGTGAGTCTATGAACATTATGAATCGACATCTAGCGTACACATAACGCTTTAGAGTGGCTTATACCATCTAGATAGGGCGCTATATCAAATGTCGTATATCATTATTATTCTTATTAACGCATTTAAAAAGTGCTACTGTCAATTATCATTAGGGACTATATGCGGCATCCTGCATATCTCCTGCAGGTTAGGAGGGATGAATTGACCAGCTGTATCCCATTTCACGATCGTAAAAGACGACTAATGTGGCGCCCTGCTGAATTGGAGATTCCCTTCATTGTCCTCTAGGAGAAATATACCTGTAGAATAAACCGTAGTCGGGATATTTCTTATTTTCCTTATTTTTTAACAATGTTGTACTCGTCTTTCCTGGGACACCTACCGCTCACCTTTTTCTCCCGCTATGCCCTATGAGTTATTCTTGTTTGGTAGACTGTAAGACTAAATAAATATTTTTCTTTTACATGTACTTTACAACAATTATGAAACAAATTATTTCAGCTTATATCAATCACTCTTGTTGGCCCGAATGTTAGCGCGCGGGGGTAGGAACCGGGAAAACCCACGTAGTCAGGCAGGTGACCCCGTAACCCCCTGCCGCCATGGGGAAAGGCAAGTGAGCTATCCATTGCGCCACCGCGCCACCCTACCACCCAAATAAAAAAAGATAAATACATATCTATTTTGAACAAACATTTCGACACTACACATCTCTTTTGTCTTTTATTGAAGAACTGAGTTAGTCTATATCACGAAATACTTGAGTAACCATTTTCGAGTTACACCTCATTTTAAAAGAGTTTCAAAACAAACGAGTTCCAACAAAAAAGAGTTCCAAAAGAAACCTGTGCAATGTTTTATTACGAGTAGTTATGATGCGAATGATGGCGTGTGTGTTGATGATGTGCAAGGTACAGTAACAACATTCTTTAGGCAAAACACAAAGCAAGACACAA